TGAATTTCATACTATGTTTGTCAGAGACTATATGGAGTATTACATCCTGAAATATCAAGAAATTGTAGCAGTTCGTGAAGATACGCTACACAGTTTGGCTAATGTGAACATCAAGATTAGTTATAAGGCTAAGATCAAAGAATGTCAAACATAAGGCGCCAATCTGGGTGCAGAATCGTGTGTAGCAAAGGCATCTTCAGCCTGCAGTTGAAATGGTGGGTTAGGCCCGAAAACACGTGCACGCCAATCTCATTCGACCTGATTCCCCGCCTCAATATTCACCTCACTTTCATTGACTGACTGTTGTTCACATGCAATGACGAACTCCCCGATGCCTATGCACCTTACTTCTGATTGCTAATTACACCCGAAGCAGTCATATGCACAGTTGACGGTAAACGAGTATTAGGAAACAGCAAGTTTGAGTTTAAATTGATGATCACAGACGAGGTAAGAGTAGCAATAACACTGTAGCGGTGATTGTCATTGTATGTGTCGTGCATTGATCAGTGTCACAGTTCATATGGTGGAGTTAAATAGACTAGAGATGTACTTTCATCAGTCTCAATGTCGAACGCTTTAGGCATGACCATCTACGTGATCTGGTTCAAGTTTGCAATGATTTCAAATCATCTTCTTGCTCATTCAAGTAGCGAATTCACATGTTTGATACAGATGAACTCAAGACCACACATCTGTATTGAGCATAAACTTTTAAGAACAAGGAAATGAGACGACCTTTCAGTTTCGTCGATTTTCACACCTAGACTTGCACAGAATTTTGTGCATCAGAACTAAACATTTGTTTGATTTCAAACTGTGGTGTAGTTGATGGGGATGAGGAAAGTGTGCCAGTTCAAGGTTTGTGACTTGGTCATCGGGCAGCATTTTGCAGACTATGTGTGTTCCATATCCTGTCTACATTGACAACAAGTAACATTCAGTAGCATCACTCTTCTTCGTTGTGTGCAAGGAAGAAGCGAATTAAATATCCACGACTGTTCGAGTGAATGTTTTTCCAAAATACTTAGAAGCATTGGTGTGGGCTACATAACTTGTCTTGTTCATGTGAGGTTATCTTGTCGACGGTCTACGCAGTGTAGATCTGAGAAGAGTTCTCAACTCAAGGTTTCGTAACGAATAGGAGCTAGGATATGAACGCGTAAGTAATAACTTGTAACCTAGACGGAAAGCATAGTATGCAAATTGTTAATTCAGTGCTCAAGATGCAAATTTTCACGGTGAGACATCGTGATCGGACACGTCAACAAACTGTAGGTAAGCAGTTGAGGACGGACTTCACATACACTTCCAGGTTACGTGAAAATAAATTTATCAAACTAAACTACGGAGAAGGCTTTTTGATGCGACTCATGTGCCTGCAATCAAGCATCAGCAATCACGCAACAACACACACAGTCCTCCAATGAATCACACACAATCAAAATCTAACTGACACGTACTGACATCACAAACATACCTTGACTACTTCACACATCCAAATGCCTGTGAACAATCAACAGAGAGATGTTCAAATTCTACACTAAACACATCATTCAACCTGTTCACAGTCACTTATCAAATCACAGGAAACTATCAAAATCACCCATTATCATACTCGCATGACCTCTCACATTGACATTCTCAACATTACGATATAGGTCACTAGTTTCACCTCACATAACCCAATAGTCGACAATGTGAAGCAAAACACAGTGGTGTTAATCAGGAAAATTTATTTCAGCTAGAATGTCGGAACTAAACACAAAGGTGGGTGTTGACGGAAACACATGATTGAGTGAGTCAGGTCAGGTCAGTGTGAGTTTGGGATGAGTGTGAGGGTGAGAGTGAAGTATTTGACTGGACTGTTGAAGAATGATGCAGCGAAGCCTGCTGGGGGATGGCTGTTCTCTATGCAGTGTTTGAACTGACAGTAGTGTGATGATGCTCGTCGCGGTGATGATGATGGTGATGGTGATCGTGGTGATCGTGGTCGTGGTCGTGACTGTGTCTATGGCCAACGCCTTTGTGGTCGTCGTAGTCATCATCGTGATCATGGTGATCATCGTCAGTGCAATTTGCATGATGCACATGGTGGTGGTCATCATCGTCGTGGTGATGATCACTATGGTTCCCTTTTCCGTGTGTCTCCACTTCACACAGAATGTAGAGTGACAGGCAAAGTAGGGTGGTCAGTTTGACGAGCATAGATGTGTGTTGTATTGTGCTGTGTGGTGTTGTTCGGATGAGGAGAGTGTCAGTGAAAAATCGTGAACGCCTATATATACTGGTGACAGAGATGTGGTTGTGACTGAATGCAGGTTTTGTGTGATTGAGAGTTGGAAATGAGGTCGATCGTTTATCACATTGTCGACTATTGGATTATGTGAGGTGAAACTAGTGACCTATATCGTAATGTTGAGAATGTCAATGTGAGAGGTCATGCGAGTATGATAATGGGTGATTTTGATAGTTTCCTGTGATTTGATAAGTGACTGTGAACAGGTTGAATGATGTGTTTAGTGTAGAATTTGAACATCTCTCTGTTGATTGTTCACAGGCATTTGGATGTGTGAAGTAGTCAAGGTATGTATGTGATGTCTTATTCATGTCAATGTGTGTGTGTGTGTGTGAGTGTGTGAGAGGATGAAGGAATGAGTGGGTGAGTGATTGGATATGTGAGTGAGTGAGTGGTTAGTTGTGTTATTGATTGAGTGATGAGGTGAATGTGTGATAACTTGATATTGAGACAATCTACAAGTGTATATGTGAGCCCTTCCCAACTGCCTGCATACACTAGGTGGACTTATCCAATCACAATGTCACTCGGTGTGAATTTGCAAATTGGACAGACAACCCAAGTCTTACTGCTGGTATTATTAATACGTCTGACAAAAGCAAGGATTTTGTGTGCTTTTGAAATTGGAACCGTGAAAGTTTCATTCTGCCAAGCATCCATCGATTTCTTTCCGATCTGCCTTGCTTAAAGCACCCAAAGATATTCACAATATACCATTTGAGTGAGTTGGTAGGTGAACGAAATCATCGAGTGTCTTGTTTGAATTTCATACTATGTTTGTCAGAGACTATATGGAGTATTACATCCTGAAATATCAAGAAATTGTAGCAGTTCGTGAAGATACGCTACACAGTTTGGCTAATGTGAACATCAAGATTAGTTATAAGGCTAAGATCAAAGAATGTCAAACATAAGGCGCCAATCTGGGTGCAGAATCGTGTGTAGCAAAGGCATCTTCAGCCTGCAGTTGAAATGGTGGGTTAGGCCCGAAAACACGTGCACGCCAATCTCATTCGACCTGATTCCCCGCCTCAATATTCACCTCACTTTCATTGACTGACTGTTGTTCACATGCAATGACGAACTCCCCGATGCCTATGCACCTTACTTCTGATTGCTAATTACACCCGAAGCAGTCATATGCACAGTTGACGGTAAACGAGTATTAGGAAACAGCAAGTTTGAGTTTAAATTGATGATCACAGACGAGGTAAGAGTAGCAATAACACTGTAGCGGTGATTGTCATTGTATGTGTCGTGCATTGATCAGTGTCACAGTTCATATGGTGGAGTTAAATAGACTAGAGATGTACTTTCATCAGTCTCAATGTCGAACGCTTTAGGCATGACCATCTACGTGATCTGGTTCAAGTTTGCAATGATTTCAAATCATCTTCTTGCTCATTCAAGTAGCGAATTCACATGTTTGATACAGATGAACTCAAGACCACACATCTGTATTGAGCATAAACTTTTAAGAACAAGGAAATGAGACGACCTTTCAGTTTCGTCGATTTTCACACCTAGACTTGCACAGAATTTTGTGCATCAGAACTAAACATTTGTTTGATTTCAAACTGTGGTGTAGTTGATGGGGATGAGGAAAGTGTGCCAGTTCAAGGTTTGTGACTTGGTCATCGGGCAGCATTTTGCAGACTATGTGTGTTCCATATCCTGTCTACATTGACAACAAGTAACATTCAGTAGCATCACTCTTCTTCGTTGTGTGCAAGGAAGAAGCGAATTAAATATCCACGACTGTTCGAGTGAATGTTTTTCCAAAATACTTAGAAGCATTGGTGTGGGCTACATAACTTGTCTTGTTCATGTGAGGTTATCTTGTCGACGGTCTACGCAGTGTAGATCTGAGAAGAGTTCTCAACTCAAGGTTTCGTAACGAATAGGAGCTAGGATATGAACGCGTAAGTAATAACTTGTAACCTAGACGGAATGCATAGTATGCAAATTGTTAATTCAGTGCTCAAGATGCAAATTTTCACGGTGAGACATCGTGATCGGACACGTCAACAAACTGTAGGTAAGCAGTTGAGGACGGACTTCACATACACTTCCAGGTTACGTGAAAATAAATTTATCAAACTAAACTACGGAGAAGGCTTTTTGATGCGACTCATGTGCCTGCAATCAAGCATCAGCAATCACGCAACAACACATACAGTCCTCCAATGAAT